GATCTTTTATTGTTTCAGTGACGAGGCCTATTGTAAATGGTTATGATCGGTCAATTATTTCACCTAACCCCCATATAACTGAACCCCCGAAAAGGGCTTGTAAACCTTGTAATCAATGTACAAGCCGTAATTTTGAAGGTAATTCAATTACATTTTCTATTCAATGAGACCAATTGAGACCAATTCTATTGAAAATGGGTAACATCGGTCCAATATTTGATCTAGCACCCATACAACTGAACCCCCCGAATAGGGCTTTTAAGTTCATAAATATGTATCTCGACTAAAAAGCTACGAAACCAAGTTCTTCATGACCCTGATGAGTTTTTTGATGATAGGGCCTAACTTGACCCTAGCCCCTATACAAAGCCCCCTTCGAAATATGATTTAAATGTACACAATATTATTCAACAAAAAATGGCTAAAGTATATCTGAGACAAGGTACAATTCAACTTAAATGCTTTATTATTAACACTAAATCAAATTTTATTTTTATAACTGGTGTAGGGTATTATAGGCCTCGCCCCGACTATAACTTCTTACTTATTTTATATATTTATTTTATTCCATTATGATGAGGCTAACGAAGCACACTTTGTATAGCTAGTAGGTATGTAAAATACCATTAGGCATATATGTACATATCCTAGGTATAAGTCCAAATAACCAAAATTATGATACATATCAAGGCGTATATATATTTAGTGATGGTTGATTAATTACAACTGCATTCTTATTTAAATGAATATTTAAAATAAACATTTGTATAATTACATCTCATATTAATGGATCAGTATTATTGGAATGAATAATACTTTTACAATTGGTCTGCTATCTGTCATAACTAAAAATAACTAAAGACCGAACACAGTGAAAAAATATGATTTTTCAAAAGTAGCACCACAAATACATATAATAATTGCATTACTAATTATTTTTTTTAAAGGAGTAAGTGGTTTGCTTTAAGTAAAAAATATATCATAACATAAAATTGTCTTAACATTTTAGCTTTGTGCACAGATTATATGGAAAAATGTTTTCTGTCATTCAACAGATGAATACTATGCAAAATTTGAATATTGTGAATTAAGGGAAAATAAAACCGACAACATGAAAGCACTTTTTCTCTATTTAAGACTGCTTAAGGTCCCCATAACTAATTTAAAATTTCAACTAACATTTAGTTTGAAAACTATGAAAACTCCAATAAAATTCAATACAACTTGGGATGTCTGTGAATTTATGGCGAATGGAAAACGGGCTAAATCTTTAAAGAAGTTTTATCATATGATTAGTGACTTCACAAATGTAAATCATACATGTCCTTATGAGGTTAGTATGCGCTATTTAAAGGTACCAGATTGTATTTTTTGGTTTATTTTTTTGTATATTTTAGCATGATATGTTTGTTAAAGATTTGGGATCAGTGGAGTCTATAGTAAATATCCCCTTGATCAAAGGTTTAGTTAATTTCAGAACAGCATTGATTTCAGACGAAAAAGTACGTATCATTGTTGAAGGTGTAGCGATCTATCAAGGTAGGGATGAAAATGGAAAACAAGTAGAGAAAGAGAAAAGAAAAACAAATAATTAATAAGATTGGTGAAGTATTTCTTAAGTGTTTTGAAGACTTTACTTATTTTATCATATAACCAATGGTGTAGGGTATTTAATACCGTCAGGGTTGGTTGCTTACGACTTTCTTGTTAATCAAATAATTATCAAAAATATATCTGTATTCAATTATATTTCAAATTAATGGAAATAAAATTATATTTGCATGAATAACAAAAAGCAAAAATATATCTGCAGTCTCATACTTCAGTCATTATAAAGAGTAAAAAAAATATGAATTTTCATAAAATAACAACAAATTTAAATTTAATAATTGCTTTGCACTTTTTCTCTATTTAAGACTAACCAATATTAAATTTCAAATAGCATTTACCTTTACGACTGTGAAGACTCCTATAAATTTCAACACAACTTGGAATGCCTGCGATTTTATGGCGAATAGAGAACGTTTTAAGTCCCTTATAAAGTTTTATAATATGGTCAGGGACTGACTATACAAATATAAATCATACGTGTCCTTATGAGGTAAGTACTTTTCAAATACAAATAATAAACATCGCTTACTAAATAAGTTCTTTTATAATCATTCTAGCATGATATGTTTATCACAGATTTGGGCTCTATGTAATCTGAAATAAATATTGCCGAGATAAGTGGTGTAGTTAATTTAAGAACTGCCATGATTACAGACGAGAAAATAAGGGTTATTGTTAAAGTTGTGGCGAAATATCAAGGAAAGAACAAACATCATAAACAGATCAAGGGAAAAGAAAAAACATTTAAGTGAAGAATGTGATACACCTCTATAGAGGGGAGGGCATTAATGTTTGTGCTGATGTTTGTAACACCCAAAAATATTGAACCTTAAAGTATACTAAACGGCTCAGAATCACTTTTTGAGTTGATTTAGCTATGTCCGTCTGTCCGTCCATCTGTGTGTCAATGTAAACCTTGTGCGCACTCTACAGGCCGTAATTCTTAAGAAAATTTGATGAAATTGAGCACCTACGCCTCATTTGATGCAGCAACGAACGCTATTGAAAATGGTTGAAATCGGTCCATTATCGGCCCCCATACAACCGGGCCCCCCGAAAAGGGCTCATAATTATGTTAAATGTTCTAGTATTTCCACAGAAATTGGCAATACTTAGTTTGAAATAAGTTTAAATAACACTGACTATTTTCTTAATGATCGGGTCTCATTTGACCGTAGCCCCCATTTAATGTCACCTTCAAAAAATTACTTGAGTGTCCAAAATTCACTTATAAACACTAGTATCACAATGAAATTTGGCACAAATAAATTTGGCATAAACACAAATCTCGACAATAAATTTTATAAGGATCTTACCAAGTTTTTGCCTAGCCCCCATATAACCGGACCTTTCGATTTGGACCTTTTTGCTCATAACTACGTCAAATATACTACCATCTTTCTAAAAATTGGCAAAACTTAGTTTGATGTAATCCTAAATAGCACTGTTAATTTTCGTAATGATCGGGCCTCATTTGAACCTAGCCCCCATACAAAGTACCCTTCAAAAAATTACTTGAATGTCCACAATTCACTTAAAAACACCAGATGAAATTTGGCACAAATAAATTTTATATAAACATAAATTACCGCAATAGATTTTATAAGGATCGGACCAATTTTTGCCCTAGCCCCCATACAACCGGACCTACCGATTTGGGCCTTTTAGTTCATAACTTCGACAAATATACTAGAATCTTCCCAAAAATTGGTACAACTAAGTTTAATATAATCATAAATAACACTGTCATGATCGGGTTTTAGTTGACCCTAGCCCCAATACAAAGTCCCCTTCAGAAAATGAGTTGAATGTCTAAAATTCACTTATAAATACTAGTATCATGATGAAATTTGAAACGAATAAGTTTTATATAAACATAATTCCCGAAAATAAAATTTATAAGGATCGGCTCAATTTCTGCCCTATACCCCATACAACCGGACCTTCCGATTTGGGCTTTTTATATCGGCAAAATGTGCTGATATATACCAGTCGGTTCAAAATCACTTTCTGATTCGATTAAGCTATGTCCGGGCTTGTGTCCGTGTAAACAATGTGTGTACGCTACAGCTCGATTTTTTCACTAAAATTTGTCTGGATCCAATGACGAAGGCTGTTGAAAATTATTATAATAGTTCCTTTATTTCTCATGTATCAATACCTCTCAATCTAAGCTTTTTTTGGTAAGTGCCTCGGTTACCTACCGGGCCAAAAACAGACAGAGCGTCAGACATAAGGATCCAGATTTATATATCTTCGTGCGATCTGCAATCAATAATTCCATTTGACAATGACAGTATGAATATTTCTAAACGGTAAAAATGGCAAAAATTTAATTTATTTGAGTAAAGGTTCACAAAAAGTGCAAAGCAGTTGAAAATGGGTCAAACAGCGACTTTATTCGCACAAGTTTAACACTTATCGCATTTCAATTTAGAATTTTGGCTGCCAATAATTACCAATATGCCCTCATTCACCATTCTTTTATGCAGACAGTAGAATTGAGAACTCAGAAAGTTCTTTTGTATGAAAGCAAGTTTCTTTGAGAAGCTTTGTCAGACGGAAAGCTCTATTTCTACTTGGGTTTGTTCAATTCCTCAGGATATCTGGTTCTTTTTGTCTGAGAGTTTGAAAGAGAATCTGATATAGCCTCTGAAGCATCCTGGTATTGATTTAATATGAACTTCTGGAGCATCTTCCTCAACTTCTTTCTCTGCGCCTCAGATAGCACAGTGGTTGATAATTTTGCTATGAAAGAGAAATCAATATATCCTTCGATTTCTACTGGGATTGATATTGCATGGTTTTCTTGACCATCTTCTTTAATTTCCTTGTCTGTATCTCTGATAGCACACTGGTGGATAGTTTATATATAAAAGGGAAATCGATATATCCTTTGGTGTCTCCTGGGATTGATCTAATATGATCTTCTGGGGCATATTCTTCAATTTCCTTCTCTGTGTCCCAGATAGCATAGTGGGTGATAATTTAGCTAATCCTTACTCATATTCAAAAGCCGATAACCACCACCGTAGTAGTCTTTTGCTCACTATTGCAAAAATTGTGAAAAATTTCATTTCTCTAACTCTTTTTGTCGGAAAAGACCATAACATCTTAGAATCTAATAAGGACCCTTAGAACCTTAGAATCTAATAATGAGTAACATTTCGAAGTGTTTCAAATGGATCAATTAATCTTCACTGGTGAATGGTATAAAAATAAATCATCAACATATTTAAGCCGTGTCAAAAAACTAATTTAATTTCTCACTTTTTTACTCCTTTAATCAGGTTTACTATTTTTGGCCGAACCTTCTACCAATGTCAATGCTACAGTAGTTTCAATAAATAAATTTGTTTTTTTTTTCTTGGTGGAATGTGTTGATTTGT